CGAATTCGGGACGAATATCACGGACTCATATACCTTATGGAAGCCATTGATCTCATACTGAAGAACAATTCGGAGAATTTGGCCGAAAAGGTTCCGAACAAAAACAAGCGCCGCTCGAAGGGCTCCCGAAGAGGCAAAAAGGGCGCCTCCACTGAAGCCGAGGGCGTCGACGACTGTCTCGTCGCCTATTATTTGGACGACTCGGAGGTCGACTTCGCGAACGAAGTGCTGAAGTCTTTGTTTAATCTAACTATTAATGTGGACAGAAATAATTTGGATGAGGTTTGCCTTTAAGTCTATACTTTCAGTACATTATAATATTTGATGATATATTGAATATAACTGAATGTTTAATTGATGATGACTTAAATGATGGTTAATAATGGATGTGATTGTATGGACAGATAGAAGAGGCACATTTCCTACGACTGGTGTCAATACTACACGACCTGCTCTTATGTGACACCAAATCCAAAGAGAAGAAGGAGGACCTGCAGAGCCATACCGTCAATCTGTTGACATCGATGCCGGCGCCCAGTTTTGAAGAGCTCCTGTCGCCGGTCACCGAAATGGGTCGGCCCGACAATCCCGACCACGAATACGACGAAATGAATGTCGAAGTGATTGCAGTATTACTACAATTCCTCTCCAAACGTCTCGATAATGTATTTAGACTTTTATTATTTTATTTTTATGATATAATTAACATTTTTGGTGACATTTTCAGCACACGATTCAGAATAGTAAGGAGCGATTGGCGCCTATACTCACGTGTCTGAGTGAGGCCTCGCGAGCCAACGCTACGATCCGTAAATACCTTCGCCTAAAGATATTACCGCCGCTTAAAGAAGTGAAAGAGAGGCCCGAAGAGGGGACGACACTCCGGAACCGATTGGTACGACTCATGACTTCACCGCACACTGAAGTGAAAGAACTGGTCGCCGACTTTCTCTTCGTTTTATGCAAAGAGAACGTCTCGCGACTCATTAAATACACCGGTTATGGCAATGCGGCCGGACTTCTGGCCAATCGGGGACTTATGTTGGGCGGCGCCGGCAATACCGGCAACTATTCCTCAGAATCTGACGAAAGCGATACCGAAGAGTATTCACAATATAAGGATAAGTGAGTGAACGACTGATTGCGAGATAACTGTTGATTAAATTGATTATTGATTTGTTTGCGTTGAATGTGTTTTTAGAATAAATCCGGTGACGGGTTGTTATGAAGAGCCAAAACCGGATCCGATGGCAGGCATGACAGCCGAACAGAAGGAATACGAAGCCATTCGTTTGGTTGAAATGATCGATAAGTTAGCGAAGTATGACTTGATTTCTATTTTCAATAATTCAATAATAATAGTGATAACACTTTTAAGAAATATTTTGTATACTGTATTTGATATAAGAATTAATAGTTAATGTATTTATTGTGTAATGAATTGAAAGGACTGGAGTCGTGAAGCCATGCCGTGTGGGAGAGGACGGAAAACCACATCCGGTCGAACATATACTAGAGTTGCAGCAAATGGTGGTTCAAAATAAACGAAACGATTCCGAAACCGACGATTAGACGAAAGGATTGGTTGTTTTGCACAAAACACTTAATATCATTGATAATTGATTTCAAAATACAAATATAAGCTTAAGATTTTGACTCGTTTTTTAGATAAAAACTTAAAGATTATGTTCTCTTATAAAACAAAACAACGATTTTATTGACTCTCTATTCCCGTATCTCTCGGACTATTTGACGTATTTTTATTGTTGTTATAGTCTTATACTTATAATCGATATGTATTTCCATCATTTATAATGTAATTTAATGTTTATTTATATTTTTCACTTATTTTCTATTGTTATTATTTACATGAAAAAAACAAATAATTGTGAAACGTTTTGTTAACTTTTAATTGACTATAAGTATTGAATTTGTAATGCATTTGTAAGTCTAGTCGTCAATATTTTTAGCGTTTTATTGATTTCCAAATCATTTGACAATTTTGTCGATAATTTATTTAATAACTTATTGTTATGAAAGGCAGCGATAGACCCATTGGTATCTATTGTACACATTTCTAGTTATATATATATCAATATAAATATATATAATTACTATTCATTTTAATTGTTATGTTTTAAAACCGAAAACAAGAATTTGTTTTAAAATTTCCATTCGATATGAATTGTAATAAAAATGAGCCAAACTTTAAACCAAAGTATTTATTATGACATTAAATATTCCTTAATTGATATCAACAAACAAATTGTTTTACAAATTTAGTTAAACCCTTACATACACTCGGGTCGGCCCGAGTCTTTCGGGTAATTGCAGGCCTGGTGTATGATATCCCAAACGGTTCCGGCGTTGCACTGTTCTTCGTGCGGCAGTCCGTCGTAACACCAAATATATTTACTACAGTCCGTCGGGTGGGGGTATCTCTTGTCGGAAATACTGCAATCGATGGGACCGGGAGTGCCCCGAGTGGTCGGTTCGGGGGGCTGTTGGGTGGGTGTGGGGTGCGGGTCGTCGGTCGGATCCGGTGGTGGTGTAGAGCCGTCATCGAAGGTGACAAATATTTTCGTGAATTCGTGGTCGTCTTGAGCGATGCCAGAACACGACGGACTGACACCACCGCCCGGACAGCCGCGGTCTCTGTTGAGCGACCAGAAGGCCAGGTGTCCGACCTGTTTCTGTTTAGCCCACGCGACCAACTGTTTCGCGTGCGCCGGCAGAAACTCTTTGCCGTTAAAATTGCGGCCAATCATAGGCGTGACTCCAAGCATTGAGTACAACTCCTGGTCACTCTTCTGCGGCCACACTCTCTTCATCTGCGAGTGAGTGGACTCCGCGGCGGCGATCACGGCGTCGCCCCACGAGGCCAGTCGAGTCCCGAACTCCATAGTCATCGGGTTTACGATATCGACGTTTACGCCGTTTTGGGCCGCGTTTTGCAACACTTTGAACCCGAGTTCGTCGGTCACCCCGTAGTCGTCCCCCTGAACCATAAGAGTATAGCTCACCGTCACCTCAGACCTCGCCTTCTGAACGGCTAACAGGCCTTTGTTCATCAGATCTGTCGGAACAGTGGCCTCGATGTCAATGTCCAGATGGGAAGAACCGGTCACCGATAGGGCTCTTTGGTAAGCGGCGGCCAACGCCGCGGGCGAACCGCAAGACGTCTCTAAATAGGGATTCAAAGCACCGCCGGTGGAGACAATGACATCACCGCCGGCCGCTCTAAACG